TTGGGTGCCTTGTTTCTAAAGTGGATAACTGGTTAAACTGGTCTAAAACCATAAAATTAACTAGAAATAACAAGAAAGTGGTACCCTGGCACAATTACAACTACGGGCCTTAGAATGTTTCAACCAGACTCTGGAGGGTTTTGCTTGCAGTGTGTATGCCCATCCCAATGTATATAAAACGTAAAATAGAATTAGGGTAAGAGTAACACATTTAAATTAGCGATAAGTGATATTCCAGTGGTATTGTCCCTACAATAACGTTTTTGAAATTGCCTTTTCACCATGGCCTCCGCATGTCCTGCACCTAACAGCTAAAGCACACTGCCATTCTCAAAGCAGCTGTAAGACGCTTATCAGGACAAAAAATTTCTGAAGAGATGGGTAGTGCTGTAGACTGATATATCTGATACATATACAGAGTACATACATATACTAGGGATGGGGACGATTTATGAAAACCGTCAGAATCGTTCGGTTCGACTGTCTCGGTTCGGTTCGCGCGTGTTTCGTTCGGTTCATGCGCTGCTCCTTTTTCTCATTGAGGAAGCGATTACACTCCAGAGCAGAAGGTGGCGGTACTGCGACCAAAGCCAACCGCCAGTAGTAAACAAGAAAAAGAAGAAGAAGCGAAGCAGCTTAGCCGGGTGTATCAGGGAAAAAAATCAGTTGTTGTGGAGAATTATGTCGGACTGGGGAGTGGGAAAGAACAGGCGTTGGAAGACGCGCCAGCAGCACTTTATAGGTAGGGTGGCCAGATGTCCGGCTTTAGGGCGGACAGTCCGGATTTTCATTGCACTGTCCGGCGTCCGGCGCTGCACCCAGCCGGACGTGTATTTGTCCTCCTTTACCCCCAGATTCCACATACTCCGTCAGCGCTCCGCCCCGCTCACGTACGGAGTACTTGTCTGTCATGTAAATCAATGAGAGCTGTTCCACATCCTCCGCTCGTCACCGCCCACGTACGTCTTCTCCGTCCTTCACCGTCAAAATACGGAGCTGAGCTATTTTTTGCTCCCCTCCGGTCCGTCCAGATCAAGACCCGCTATTGCAATCGCACCAAACAGAAAAAAGAATGTAGAGAAGACCCGGTTTGTCAAATAAATTATAGTAAAAACAGATCGGTATCTAGAAATTAGAGCATAGTTTGTATATATTCCCAAAAACTAAGAGCAATTAATTAAATAATTGGATGCAGACTATTGGTGCTTCAGCAGACCAGGAAGAAGTTGTGAGATTCTAGAGTGAATCTCACAACTTTAAAAGAAAATTCTTATTGCAGGAATGGATGAAGAGATGATGAGTTTGGAAGCAGAGAATAAACAGAGTTCATACAAACTATGTATGATCCTAGTTATCCCTGTTACAAAAATCCACAACAGAAAGAAAATATTTGAGCAGAAACTGAACATCTGCTGGATGATGATGGGGATTTTTTTAATATGTCAGATTCAATTAAGCGTTCACAGGTTTTATACAGGAATGAGGAACTCTAATTTAATGCTCTTTTAATGCTATTAGAAATAATTTTAATGCCATCAACAAGTATCATGTACGCAAGTTATTAGTTTACATGAAATAAGGAGCTGTAAGCACAGTTCCATGACTCAAGTTTATATATATATATATATATATATATATATATATATATATATATATATATATATATATATATATATATATATATATATAGATATAGATATGGATAGATAGAGAACATGGTGATATAATCTTTACTCTCGACAGGCTGCAGCCATGTCATGAATTCCTCTTTTCCAGCCACTTTTTGCAGTTTGCATCGTCCTATTCTCTAGCTCTTTCTCGAGCTTCTTTTCCAAACAACTGCTTTATGATCAATTGCAGCAGTTCTGCGCAAATTAATCGTGTTAAAAAATTGTCACTTTTTAAACACCACAATGTATTAAATAAATACAAATGCTGGGAACCAATTCTTTTTTACATTTCTTTAATATTTTGTTCTATTCAGCTACACAAGCATCCTCTTTAAACTACTAAGAATTGTGCTATAAATGTGACTTTACCCGATTCTTATGTACACCTTAGTAATTTATTGATATGCCGCACAATGTCCTCCTTTTTGGTGCTATAGAAATGGCCACCCTATTTATAGGTCTGCTGTATGGGAGCGCTTTGCATTTAGAGTGACCTACGATGACAGCGGAAAGAAAGTTGTGGATAAAAGTGCAACAGTGTGCAAGCATTGTGCAACACGTTTTGTTTATGCTAATAGCAACATGTCATGCTAACCCCGAAATCCCTCATACTCCGTCAGCAACCCCCGCTGCGCTCCAGACCGGCTGCTCAAAGCAAAGCCTACAGCCCACTGTGGCTTCGTCTGCTCCCCTCTGAGTTCCTTGGAGATGGTAGAGAGCATGTAACCTGACAACAGCCAGATGCATGTCTCGCTCCCATGCATCTGGCTGTTGTCAGGTTAGAGAGCATGCGCCAGATGATTAAATTCAAAGCAGCAAAACATACGGAAATGATCCAGGGTTTCCGTGGATCATTTAAAATAATTACAATCCATTATTTTTGGGGGGATTTTTTCATTAATTTCATAATTTTTTATGGAATTTCGGTGTAACAATCAACATGTATCGAATCGAATCGAAAACCGTGACCAGAAACAGTGAATCGAACCGAACCGTGGATTTTGTGAACCGTTCCACCCCTAACATATACAGAGTATATACAGATAGAAACAGGGACTCAATAGAGGATTTATTAGGTTACAAATGTTTCTCAGTGCTGCTTTAAGCGCCTCTCCAGGTCCGCGCTTTTACATAGAGACAACATGGGAATCTTTAAGTCATATCATGGGAGTCTTTAAGTCCAGCTGGGAAATTTGTGTTGGGTGTCAACATATCTTAACGCAACATTTGCAAAGTCAGCCTCCCTGACTTATAACCCTTTACCCCTGGCCAAAGAAACTGTTTAAACCTGTGAACAATCTCTTTTAGTGACAGTGGAAGCCGCTCACTGACTGCCAGAGTCAAACAACTTGGCAAGCAACCAAGGGAATAGTGGGAACACCAGATCCACTTTTGGCTCACACAATCAGGCCATCATAGGGTGCTGGTGCTACAAACATGTGGTAGATCATACATAATTTTATAAAGTAAATAACCGTCAAGAACAAAGTCGCGTGCACATGGCATTTATTATATCTCCCTTTATTGTTTGATAACGCACTTTATATGTAGCAATGTTTTAAAATAAATTCTGATTACAAATGAAGGATTTTAGGCCTATTTAAACAACCCGCTTTCTTGATCCCACTGGTGCAAAAAATAGCAGTATAAAATGAAACCACTAGATTCCCCCACTCCCTATACCCACCCCCACACTCAAACACAATATTTTGATGTATAAAAAGTGGGAATAATAGTGATAGATGTTCTTTTCTGACAAAATATGGAAATAGATTTATTCAAAATGGATATATGTCATACAGTAGGGTGTTATTTTTATTTTCCCATCTAAATTGACTTCCTTCCGACTGCTAGAATTTTTAAATTAGGTAAGAAGAGTGCCTGAAAAATATTTCTCATCTTTATAAACCATTTTAAATGTATAGATTAAACGTGATAGTTGGTGCAAGATATAGCCGGCGAAATGGCTTAAAAATAGAGAAATTTTTCTACCAAATCCAATTGTTAGATTTTTCTTCTTAATAAAAATGAAAGAAAACATGTATTTCTTAAAAAAAAAAACAGGTTGGATTTCAATCTTTCCCTTGATTTTATTAGTTCATTGCCCAGCCCTAGTTCCATGTTTATTTATACTGAGCGATTTGCCTGTATAAAATGAGAGGAAACATTGGGACAACCTTACTTGTGTGGCATCATAAATGTTTGGGACCTCAAAATGAAAATGGTAATAATTATTACCCACAAAAGGACTTACTAATCTTGAAATTTATTGAAGGTGCAGTTCTGTTTTTTATTTTTTTTTTTATTTAGCACATTTTAAAATCATTTACATCAGACAGGGCTCTTTTCTTGTCCAGACACTTGTGAGAGGAGGTCGGGAGGAACTGACAGTCAGCATTTTGAGGTGTAATGACTCATGTCTGAATTTTTAGATTACATCTTTGTTAATTTCATTTATCTTTAAATTAAGTTCTACTTTTGTTTGAAGCACTTTGAAATACTCATATTTAAAGTGCAATATAAATAACATGCATTCCTATTGTATGTTTTTTTTAATAGTTATTATTACCTCCACCTCTTTGGCTTAAAACTTAATGTTACGTTTATGGCCACTTTTAAACTAACAAGAAGAGCAGTCACAGTGTTAAACACACAGTTTACTAATCTAATTACAGGGGAGACTAAATTGTTTTTCACATTTTATCCATTGCACACACAACAGGCCTTTTCTGCATTTTTTTTCATGCAATTTAGCCCTCGTTTTGTAGGATCTTTGAAGATCTAATTAAGCCCTAATTATGACCAAAGTTATGCCTATTACCTTGTTCAAGTTTTAACTAATAACTTGGTCTTTTGGACCTAAAGTAACGGTTATTAAGAAAAGAATTGTGAGTATATTCTTGCTAACAGGAGTATGACATAACTGTCAACGAAATTACTGTCACCTTAATATAATCAAGGTTATTAAGGTACTACTTGACTTATTTTGAGGAAGTATCGCCTCCTTTAAAATAGTCAAATCAAGATCAAACCCCATATCATGTTCAGGATGTAAACTACCATCCATGTAACATAGCTAGAAAAAAAAAAAACATCAGAAATCCCTGGAGAAAACAAAGAGGATGAAAAATAACCACACCTGCATCAAAAGGTATAATAAAGAAAGGGATTTAGAGCATTCATCTACCTGTTAAGAACTTACAGCTGTGTTGCAAATTCTTGTGAAAGGTATGCTTGAAATGAAACAGCTAATTGCAATTTTACTTATTTTTTAAGTTAGTTTTATTTATTCAATAGAACGAAAATTATAGAATCAGTTGAAATATATATAAATTATATCAAATACATGAATGTTTTTGTATAGTTTCATTTTTCTTTTTTTTCTTAGATGCTTTGAGTTTTTGAAGGTATTTTCATCATGTCAGAGAGCAATCAAAGCAGAGTAACTGCATTTATACTAACTGGATTTCCTGGACTTCATCCAGAATATTATTGTATTGCTTCATTTGTTTTATTCTTAGTCTATGTGGTGACTGTTATTGCAAATATCACTGTGTTTTTCTTATTTGCAACTAACCAGAGCCTTCACAAACCAATGTATTACATAATTTTAAATGTATCTGCCTGCGATCTTCTCTTCAGCACAACGACTTTACCTAAAATCATCAGTAGATACTGGTTTCAGTCAGAGAGCATTTCCTTTACTGGTTGTTTTGTCCAGATGTACTTTGTACACTATTTAGGCTCTGTTAATTCTTTTATTTTCTTCCTGATGGCTTTCGACAGGTATGTTGCTATTTGTCATCCTCTCCGATATACAACAGTCCTTAAAAAAAACACTGTCCACATTCTCAGCATGACTGCATGGATTATTACTATGGGGTTCCCTTTAATGTTAGTCATTAGAGCATATCCTCTTCCTTACTGTGCATCAAATGTTATTCATCACTGTTACTGTGATCATATAGGAATAACAGTTCTGGCCTGCACAGACAGAGCTCCTTATTCTTTTCCTGCTTTTGTGGGAGCAATGATTACACTGTTAGTACCTTTGGCATTTATTGTTTTCTCCTATTTCTCAATATTTATAGAAATAAGTAAGGTAGTAGGTCCAAAAAAATGTTTTAAGTCTCTGTCTACATGTAGTACTCAGTTAATTATTATCTCACTGTATTATGTACCTCGATGTTTTGTGTATTTTGCTAGCCAAGTTGGGATTACATTTAGTGCTGATTTGAGAATAGTTATTATAATGTGCTATAGCCTTGTCCCTCCAATGATAAACCCACTTATCTACTGCCTAAGAGCTAAAGACATCAGAGAGTGTTTATTAACACTAGTCTACAGAATAACTGGACAAAAAGCTAAAGTTTTACCAGCTAATGATTAATCATAATTATTTCTTTTTAAGTATAACTGAAAACCTGGTCCTGAAAATCTATATATTTTTTAAGATTATCTCAATATCAGAAGAAACTATTGTGCTAATGTGATTTCATATTCCGTTTGTAAATAACAAGTGACAAATCACAAGGCCTAATTTTAAAGGGGTGAAAAATAAAAAATAGCTTTTCTCATTTTATTTTGAGTTTTTTTGTGTGTGTCTGTTATTGCATGTCAAGAGCTGTCTAAGCCAAATCATGGCTTGAATCTCCTTGATCATCAAGGTCATCCATCCCTGCCAAGCAGCCACAGTTGTTGCCAAGCTGCCTGTCATTGCTTTGATTTAAATATTGAAATTTCTTTTTCAGTTCAATCACAAAGAAGTAGCTTGTTTTAGCTTCTGGGTTGACACATTCCAAAACAACAAACAAACAATCTGAAAGATAAAGCAAACGTACATAAAATAAATTAAATAAAATAAGAGTTCTAGCTAAGATAAACAGGGAAAACCAAGAACTTAAATTATTATATTCCTCTACCTTACATATAACATTTAAAATGTTTACAAAGGCCCTTCAGTTGTTGGGAAAAGGAGAAGACAAAAGAAGAGTAGGCCACGACAGTGTCATCTTACGCGATACATTTTCTCCCACAGTGAAATGCTGTGAGGTTCATGACAGGTAAGGTACTCAGTGTGTCTCAATTTAACAGCAGAATCCCCCTCGAAAGTTTTGATTTAAAGGCTAATTAAGACAAAGTGCAGCGACAAGGCCCATCCATATTCACAAATCCTTCAAAGGATCCTTCAAATAAGGTCTGCAAATGTGTCTTCCTCTCTCAAAATTTGAAGGATGGCTCTAGTGTATCCTTCTTGGTCCGCCATTTTGCATGATTTACTGCAGGTCGAAGCAGAAATGTCAAGCTCAGGCAGCAAACATGGACCAAGTAGCAAAAATTGTGATTAAAAACTGGTATATGACTGTTTCTGTGACACAATATGAACATTAAAGATGTTTTTAGATGGGAATGTAGCTTTTTTTTTTTACTCAAATATTTGCTGTGTTTATCAAGATTTAAATTAACTTAATAAGGAGCTCCAGTATTTTTTGGAGCTGCTGCAGTGGCATTAAATGCAGGAGTTTGTTCTGCAACCAGAGGATATTTGGTTCAAGCCCCAGCTCTGGCTTTTAAGTGTCATAGTGGCCTAGGGCAAGACACTTCACCTTCCTGGCCTACTGGTGGTGGTCAGAGGTCCCGGTTGTGCCAGTGTACAGCAGCCTCTCTCCTGTCAGTGAGCCCCAGGGCAGCTGTGCCTACTATGTAGCTTGCCACCATGAGTGTGTGCATGAATGGGCGAATGACTAAATGTACTGTAAAGCGCTTTGGTCAGCTTTTGATCTTCTGACCTGAAAAAGTGCTATATGAAATACAGGACAGTTACCATTTTACTATATATGAATATTTAAGGAAGAGAGAGAGTTTAAGTTTGTGGTCCAACCATTTTATTTGTTTTAATTGCTTTTTATTTTTATTTCATTTTAATTCTATGTTATTGTTTAATTAATGTAAAGCAGTTGTCTTGTACTGAATTGTGTTGTATAAATAAACCTGCTTTGCACTGCCTTAAGACCATTTCTAGCCGAGATCTCCTTTCCACTCACAGATGGTATGCGTGATGCCTCCACTCCAATCAATGAGGTATGTTGGACTTGTCACGGTCATTCCAACATACCACTCCTAAACGCTAAGAAACCAGTCAACATCCGTGGTCCACCTGATTTCTCCCGCCAGCCCAATAATGTCAGCCTGTTGTCAGGTCAAAAAGACCTAACAAATATTGATAAGCCTATGGCTCTCACCTGAAGTATTGAAAATCAGAGAGAGGCTTGGATTTGCTCACATCAGACCTACAGTATTGGTGTGTCACAGCCATGAGATAAAAAAAAACATAAATTAATTTTAAAGAATAGTTGAAAAAAAATGAAGATTCTTCCAGTGATTCTTCCCTTCTGTGAATCTCCCCTGAGCTACCAGCTTTGTTTGTGTTGCTGTAAGTGCCGCTATTAATCACAGCTGAAACCAAGCCCTGATGCCTAAATCCCTTGCCTCTCCACAGACACCTCTAATGGGAGAAATCTCAAATGCTATGGGAGTAAGGCTCTGAAGTAATATCAGTTGTACATGCAGCTCAGGGGAGATCCTGTTTTGCAGCTCTTAACTTCCAAAAGGCTTTGTTATTACAAATAGTTTGTAATTGCAAAATGTCTGTCTTCAGTAGAATAGAATCATCTTCTCTTTTACTCTTAAACAGGTGTTACTTTGTTTTTACTTCCTTCTTGTCAGCGGTGTGTTTCATGTTTTTACTTTCGTTGGATCACTTATTTCTATATTTTATTTATTTATTTCAGATTTTTTGATTTATTTAAACCAATTTAATGTGTCAAACTGTGCCTGGTTTTATAGTGCTTTATGAATACAGTTGGTTTATTTTTGGTTAATAAACATACATTGTGAAGGTACAGAGTTTGTTCTGAGAAGGAGTACTCCGTGACATACATTTATGAAGGTGAAAAGTACAAAAAAACTTTAAAATTAGATCTCCCAGAAAAACACAAAATCCTAAAAACAATATAAGAATAAAAGTAAACTAAATCATAACCTAATAAGGAAAACGGCAAAGAGACTTGAGCATTTGAAAGTGATCTAAAATGTAAATACCCTTGGGGCCTGATTTCAAGATGGTTTGCACGCCTTAAAACACATGCAAACTGTTTTAGGTGCAGAGTAGATGCAGATCTTCCAAAAAGCATTTTGCATTTTCAGTTCAGTAGACGGTGTGTGCCCACCATATTTTGCCGGTCTCAAGGCACTTTACAGAGACAATTCAACATTTCAGACAGTTTGATTGGTTCAAAGTTTTCTATCTAAGGAAAATCAGATGATTGCATCAACTCATTAACTAAAAAGCAATCCCTCACACCAGGCATGCATGTAGTGACGGTAGGGAGGAAAACTCCCTGTTTTCAGGGAGAGAGCTCCAGCAGGTCCAGGCTATCTTCATAAATATGCCTTTAATTCAAATCAGAAACCTAACTATGGCAGCTTTTTATACTTCCTTTTCAGAATTTCTTAGAGACAGGTGCCAACAGACACAAAACTTTCTGCCGTCTATGGGCCGGATCTATCAAATGTTTGCGTGTATAAAAACGTGAGCTATTTCACTGCGCACGCAAAAAAAATGTACAAACTGATCTATCGTGTTTAAATATATTTATTGAATTTGTTTTTTGCAAGAAAATACAAAACAATAAAGAAACCCAATATCCCACCCACCCCAGCTGTCACCGTGAAAGCAAAACATTGCACTGACATGCCAGATCACAGAGAGAAGTTGTACGTTTCAAAATAAATACAGATACAGTACGAAAGTAAAAATTAAGAAATAAAAAACAGCCATCAAGGACTATACCAATGTTGCTGGGTTATCAAAAAATATAAAAAAGGGTTTCCAGACCTTTAAAAATTTCTGTTCAGAACCACGTAGCGAATATCTGATTTTTTCAAGTTTGAGGTTCAGTAAGACCTCTTTAATCCAGTGAGACAGTGACGGTGGTAGAGAGTCTTTCCACTTTAAAAGGATAAGACGACGTGCCAGTAGAGTAGAAAAAGCTATCACTTTGTGACCTCCGACTGGTAGTCGAGTCCCCCCCGGGAATACTCCCTCAGAAGTTACCCCAAATAGTGCGGTTAGAGGATTAAGGGGAATCTCAACACCCAGAACAGTAGATAATGCCTCAAATACACCTTTCCAAAATCCCTCCAAACTGGAGCAAGTCCAAAACATATGAAGCAGAGTGGCCTCACCTCTCTTGCACCGGTCACATGTAGCATCCATTTGTGGATACATTTTTGCCAATTTAGATTTGGACATGTGTACTCTGTGAACAACTTTAAACTGGATTAGCGAGTGGCGCGCACACATGGACGAGGAGTTGACACGTTTTAATATATTGGCCCATAGATTATCATCAATAGGTGTCTGGAGGTCTATGGCCCAAGACTTCTGTATTTTAGAGTCACTTAAGGACACACAATCTAATTGTTTAGCTATAAAGGAAATTGCCCCTTTCTTCTTAATTCCAAAGTTAAAAATATGATCCAGTATACCTTTTGTAGGTTTGTGCGGAAACTCTGAATTTGTCTCCTTCACGTAGTGTCTGACCTGTAGGTATCTAAAAAAGCCAGACGCAGGCAGTAAGAATTTCTGAGAGAGCTGTGCAAAAGAGGCAAAAACCCCCTCTATATAGAGATCCTCTATAGTTTTAATGCCTTTGTTATGCCAGGCTGTAAAAGTTTTGTCATGCATTGATGGCTGAAAAAGATGATTTTGTAATATTGGACTGAATAATCCACTTTCCTGCAGTTTATAGTACTTTCTAAATTGTATATATATTTTGCAAGATTGGACAACTGTAGAGTCTGCATTTTTAAGATCAGGTAGCGTGGCTGGCATGGGTGAGGCCAAAAATGCAGACAGATTTACAGGATTACAAAAATGACGTTCCATAGTTACCCACAAAGGGCAGTCCTCCTCAGGTCTACAATGCACCCAGAACATCATGGAATGTAAATTTGCAGCCCAATAGTACAGTCTAAAATTTACCAAAGCTAGGCCTCCATTTTGTTTATTCTTTTGAAGAAAGTCCTTACGAAGGCGAGGGTTCTTACCACTCCAGATAAACCATGATAAGGCTGCATCTAGCTTTTTAAAGTAACTTCCAGGTATAAATAAGGGCAAACATTGAAACAAATACAAGTACTTTGGAAGTACAATCATATTAATTGAATTAATCCTGCCAATGAGTGAGATAGGAAGAACAGACCAAGATGAAAAATCTTGTTTGGTGTCATTTAGGAGCTTTCCAAAGTTATGTTCGAATAAATTTGAAAATTTTTTTGTAATCACAACACCAAGATAGTTGAAATTATCTTGGGTCATTTTGAATGGGACTTGGATCGACTCCAGTACCGAGGCAGCTAAATTTAGAGGCATTATTTCACTTTTTTGTAAATTTAATTTATAACCTGAGACCTCCCCAAAACGTTGAACAATGTCGATGATATGAGGGATTGCGGACTCAGCATGTGAAACATATAAGAGGAGGTCGTCCGCATATAATGACAGTTTATGCACCGTATTTCCCCTAAGGATACCTGTGATATTGTGATTAGCCCTTATGGCCACAGCGAGCGGTTCTATGGCCAAAACAAACAGAAGTGGACTAAGGGGACAGCCTTGTTTGGTCCCGCGATGAAGTTGGAAAGATTCAGAATATACATTATTAGTCAAAACTGTAGCAGAAGGAGATAAATAAAGTAGCCGGATCCATGCCATAAAACATGGCCCAAAACCAAATTTGGCAAGTGTTTGAAGAAGGAACTCCCATTCAACCCTATCGAATGCCTTCTCTGCATCCATGGAGAGAAGGCATTCAGAAATGGATTCGCAAGGAGAGTACATAATGTTTAGCAGACGTCGGATGTTAAAGAAAAGAGGCCTTTTCTTGATAAAGCCAGTTTGGTCAGGCGAAATAATACAAGGTAGTATGTCTTCCAGTCGAAGTGAAAGAATCTTTGTTAAGATTTTATAGTCTGTATTTACCAGAGAAATTGGTCTGTAGGAACCACACTCAACTGAATCCTTTCCTTTTTTCAACAGAAGTGTAATGCATGTTTGGTTAAAGGTAGGAGGAAGTTTACAGGACAAAAAGGCCTCAGCATACACCTCTGTTAGGATTGGGGATAACTGTTCATTAAAGGCCTGATAAAATTCATTCGAAAATCCATCCAAGCCTGGGGACGTTTTAGTCCTCAATGACTTGATGGCAAAACAAACTTCTCTTTGAGTAATAGGCTGATCCAGAGAAGCCATCTGTTTTGGAGAGAGTGTAGGCAGTCCTAAATTTTTAAGAAAATCTTCAATTAAAGTAGGATTGGGATTATTAGAGGTATACAAATTTGCATAGTAATCCTTAAAGGCATTGTTTATTCCTTGTTGGTCTGTTTGGATTTTCCCATCTTGTGTCCGTATTCCGTTAATCTGCTGTTTCGCCCTTATTCCTTTTAATTGTCTGGCCAACACCTCTCCCGCCTTGTCTCCATGTTCATACATGACACTTCTGTTTTTAATCAAGAGATTCTCAATAGTATAAGTAGAAAGCAAATCATATTCAGTCTTAAGTTTAAGTCGCTGTTTTTCTAAATTTACAGATGGAGTTTGGGCATTTATTATATCAATCTGTGATAT